TCAAGCCTTTTAATTTTTGCTAGTCGAATAGACACAAAATAATTTAAAAGTGCTGTTTTAATTGGCACTTCTCTGATTACTAAAGATTCTGAGCATCTTTCATGTGCTTCATTTTTTCCTCTCTTCTGTAAATTGCTTCTTCACACCATCTGCCTGTTGTTCCTTAGGGTTATTATCCCCACTTTGTTATTTTTTAGGAGTTCTTAATATATTCTACTTATTAATATCTTGTCAATTTAACATTGCAAATATTTCTTATTCCAATATCCTTATTCATAATATCTTTGACAGTTGTATTCTTCACTGAATGGAAATCCTAAATTATGTTGATTCAAATTCAGTCAACTTTATTTTTTGTCTTAGGGTTTATGCTTTTTAAATTTTGTCTCAGTAGCCCTTCCCTACCCTTAGGTCATAAGGATACTGTCCTGCATTGCTTTCTGTTAACTTTACAGGTCATCCTTGACCTTGAACTCTTTAACACATCCAGAGTCCATTTTTCTTAGGTAGTTACCTAGGGATGTTAGGTAAGATACAGTTTTATTTCTTTCATTAAAGTGAGTCCATCCTCCCAATGCGATCTTCTAAACAAACATCCTTTCCCTATTGACAGGTGCTGCTAACTTTACCTTATGTTAATTCCCCATACATAAATATTTCATTTCCTGAGATCTCTATTCTGTTCCACTGATCTATTTGTTTTTTCTTGAACAAATACTAAACTGTTTTTATTATTAGGCCTACCCCTGCCCTTTATTTTTATTTTTTGAAGATGATTTTGCTCTTCTATATGCATAAAAAATATCTTGTGAGATATATCGTACATACCTGAGAGCGTATAAAATACGTATGTACTGTTATAGTGTCAGGTTTAGGGATCTGAAATGGCAGTTCTTGGTGAGCTCATGGCCAAAGAATGACCGGACGCACCAAAGTAAGGTAAGCATGAAAATGAGGTTTATTGAGGAGAGAAAATTAGGATTATAGAGCAAGAGCAAAATATAGGTTTATAGAGCATGATATATACACCAAAGGTGACGACCGGACCCATTGTTGCAGCAAAGCAAGAGCAAAAGGAAATACCTAAGTTATTGTGTGTGTCTTGTTTCATAGCGCCAGGATGGGGTCCTCCCTGTGGTGCAGGTGTCACTGTGGAACCACTTTGATTGGACAGTTGGGAGTTGCATGACCTGCACCTTACTACGCATGCAGGTTGTTCTAGGTCACTTCCCAGACTCTGTTGTACCTTTGCTGCTTGGCTCAAGTCCTCTGCATTCTTTTGTAGTTGGTCCATAGGGTGTTCCCTCCTACCCCAGATATGGCAGTTGCTCAGGACAGGATTAAGGTGGGACAGGACCAAGATGGGGCCTGGGGTCCACCCTTGTCCTTCTTCCCAGGTGGAGCAATTGCACTAAGGCAAGACACCCACTTTTGTCCCTAGGATACCTGGAATCCCTCGCTATCTACCTAACAATAGGCTAATCATAAAACAAACATCAGTGTAAACCACCATCCAGGTTAGGAAATGCATTAGCAGTCCTCCAGAAGCTGCCCCTGTATCTTCTCCTGACCACAATGCCCATTTTCCCTCCAGGCAACCAATATCCTAACTCTTGTGAGAATCATAACCTTCCTATTCACTCTAGTTTGACCACCTAGGTACACATCCTCAAAAAATATTGTTTAATTTTGCCCCTTTTGGAATTCTCCCAAAAGAAACTCATACTAGATGGATTTCTTTTTATTTTCTTTAGCTCAACAGTATTTGTGAAATTCATCCCTGTTGTTGCATGTAGCTCTAGCTGAGGCATGTCTTGCTGTACAGCATTTCATTGTGGTAGGAGGTATTAGCAGCCCAGCAGGGCCACAGTGCTCCTGAAAGAGATCAACTAACCCCCCCTCCCCCAATCTTCACTTTAACATCCCTGACAATTAACCTGCATCCCTGACAATTATGCAGAACAACTGGGGAAGGGAAGAGCCAAGTGAGGGAAGAGGCTCAGAATAATCACATGAAGATTGAGAGTACTTACACAACAGGGGGATTGGTTTGGATGACTGTCTGGGCAGCGAGATTATTGGTAAACCTGTGCCTTAAGAAAGGGGCAAGAGAAATTAACAAAGGAAGATGACAGAGCAAAGAGAGGATGATAGTGGGACAATCTATGCTCCTATCCTTTGGCAAGAATAGGTAAATTGCTTACTCCAGGAGGGGTCCAAACTTGAACCATTTTGCCAGGGCCATTCGCCAAAAGAAGACATACTAGGTGAAAGGATCTCAATAGCTGAAGGCTGAGAGTAACCCACTTGGAGCAAGAGCAGGGGCAAAGTGTGTAAGAGGTTCTGCTGGAGCTGGATCTTCCACTGGCATCCTAGGGGAGGGCCAGCTGAACAGCCAGTTGGCCTTAGCCACAGAACAACCAAGGAAAGATTGTAGTCACATGACCGTTAGCAAAAGACTTTAGTCCTTTCCACTGTATACTGCTCCAACTCTGAAAAAGCTAAAACCATAAAGTATGGTTTTAGAACTTATTTTTTCCATAGCCTTATGTAATTTTATTTATTTATTTATTCATTCATTCATTTTATTTTATTTTTTTAGAGGCAGGGTCTTGCTTTGTTGCCCAGACTGGAGTGCAGCGGTGCAATCATAGCTCACAGTAAGCTCAAATTCCTGGGCTCATGCGATCCTCCTGCCTCAGCCTCCCAAGTAGCTGGGACTACAGATGCACACCATGCCCGGCTAATTTTTTTTTTTTCTTGTAGAGATAGGGTCTTGCTATGTTGTCCAGGCTGGTCTCAAACTCCTGGCCTCAAGCAATCAATCCTCCTTCCTTGGCCTCTCAAAGTTCTGGGATTATGGGCGTGAGATACCCTGCTCCACCTGTAATTTTATTTTTGAGTCCCCATTCTGACTGGCAGCAGAAATCAATATATAAATCAATTTCAAACCTCTTCCCCCAATTCCTGGAGTGTTGTCTAAATTCTGAGAGGCGTTGGTAGCACTAAAGCATCATGGGAGGTATCTGGTCTTTGGGGTTGCCATCTAACCTCTGGTCTTCATTCTAATCAAGTGACTGCTGTCTTCTTTCCCTGACTGCAAGACCTCTTTCAGTCCACCAGTTCACCTCTTACATGGGAACTTGTTTGGATCTGTGTCGGGTTCAAGTGCAGATAACGCTGTGATGCCACCCCCAGTACACACTCCAGCATTTCTGCTTTGTTCTTACCTTGGGCTGGCACAAAGAAGCCCCGAGCTTTGTGACTTTCTCAGGCCCTCCCTGAGAAAGGACACACTGGTCAGATCCCCCAAATTTCTTGAGGTGTTTTAGCACCCAGCTTTTCCTAACTTTCCCTTGAAAGAAGGCAGAGCAAGGCCAATTCTTGGGATCTCACCAGCATCTAAGTTTTCTTAGTATTTTCATCTCTCTGTTTCTTCTTTCCTAGTCTAGTGAATTTTATCTAACCTAGGAGTGTGACAGAGACCAAAAAAATTTTTTATCATATTCTTTGAAACTGACTGTCCTGTATATATGCCTTTCATTCCTATTTTTTTTCTATGTCCACCTGATAACTAGGCTTTTGAAACTTAGATCTAATCATTGACTCTACCCATCTACTGGGCCATTCCTCCCTTGAAGCCAGGAAAACTGCAAAGTCCCACTGCCTGAATCACACAGGGTTTCATGACATAAAAAGTAGAATTCTACCCAGTGACAAAACTTTTCAGCAAAACTGACATCTAACTGGACACTGTTCTTTAGGACATAAAGAGACTGCCTCAACTTCCCATCCCCAAAAGAGAAAAAAAAAATTAACCAACCAATCCATAATAAGAGTCACAAAAAGGGAAGAGGGAGTGCTTGGGTGCACTGGTTCCCATTAATGGTTTGCTAAAGGTTGTCCTGGTATTTGACCACGAAAGGGAAGCTGCTATTCACTCTGATCAAACTAAGGTTGGGTCAGTCTTTAAAACAGGGCTTTAGGCTAGAATCATGTTATTCATTTAGATTCTTTAGGACCAAGTTTCTTGGAGGTTGCTTCCTAAGTGTTTATTGAATTAACGGGAAGAGCAAGCTGAAAGTGGTCACAGACAACTGCCCTAATGCAGTTCAAAGCCAAGTGGTTTAGCAATACAGTTGTCCCTCCGCAGGGACAACTGTCCTCTGTGGGGAATTGGTTCTAGGACTGCCAGTGGATACCAAAGTCCACGGATGCTAAAGTCTCTTATATAAATTGGTGTAATATTTGCCTATAACCTAAGCAATCCCCCTGTATAGTTTAAATAATCTCTGGATAACTTATAATACCTAATACAATGCAAATACTATGTAAATAGTAGTTATACTGTATTGTTTAGGGAATAATGACAAGAAAAACATCTGTACATGTTCAGTTCAGATGCAACCATCCATTTTTTTTTAATGTTTTTTGCTTTGGTTAGTTGAATCCACAGATGCAGAGCCCACAGATACAAAGGGCTGACTATACTTTAGTTACAAGTATCAGTACAAATAAAGACCTACCACAGATGGACAGATAAACTCTGCCCTGCCTTAAGTTAGCCAGTGAGGCCCGTCTTTGTCAGGTTTCCCAGAACCTGTTTTCCTGTATGTCTGTACAATGGGAGAATGCAAGTTCAAGGAGGGCTTTGTGATGCCCTCTTGATGTCAATTCTTGCTTTTATGTGTGGGATGGGACACTTGATTAGTAGTTCATGCCCAGCACAACTGGGGGAAGAGCATAGGAATTGTAAATATTTGAACATTAGCTTTTCTCCTGGTCTAGACTGCAGAAGACCCAGAACATCACAGTTGTAAAAGATAACTTGGCTACACAGTTCCTGAGGGCCTCTAGGTGAGCTGGGCACCTCACTGGCCACAGCCCACACATGCTACTGCAGAAAGAATATTAGGGGTGCTAGCAATTTGGTGCATATTGGATAACCTCTCTCTACTTCTTTATTTCTATCCATGAGAAAAGACACACACACCCTTTTGTTGGTGTTTATTATTTATTTACAGTTACATTTATCACACAATCACTAGTTTACTTTTACCAAATACGTAGACTTTTTGGAACATCTGGAGTCTAGAGCTCACAGTACAGAGCTTTGTGAAATACGGTGCCTATGAGAATTTTCCCACGGTACGTGGAAGCCACCGAGGTGCCCTGAAGCACGGAGCCATTGTTAGCATACACGGTGCTTACTCTGGGCTTCTCAGAGAAAATATTCTGGATGCGAAGTACCTGTCACGAAAAGACCACTCATTAGTATATACCCTCTGTGAGCAAACAGCTGTCTGGTAATGTTTTCTTTCCCAAATATACCACGATGAATCCATTTTTCAGACACTAGTAAGCTAAAAATCTGTATATCTTCAATAAAATGTCCTTCTTCTGATGAAAGTACTAATGTCCTAATGGCATGCACCAAAGTGAACTGGTTATTCCTCAATAGATGGCTTTTACAGTGTTGACAGCTCAGGCATCCCCTAAAAGAAGGAGGTAGGACCCAGTTGGTGCTCTTGTTTAATGTGGACAGTGGCAAGGGTTTTGCCTTTGAGGCCTCTAGCGTGGGGAGAGAAACATGGGACAAAATGATGAAGGGACACCCAGTTAGCCAATGTGGCAGCCAGCGAGGTCCCAGCTGGAGGCCCCTCACCACGACAGAGCGTCTCTCGGAAGTGTAAAGAAGCCAGGCTACTTTAGAATTTCATCTGGCACTTCACTGACTGGTCCTGTTATTGATGCCCAGGATTAACGCACTTCACTTTGCTGGTCAGTAAATATTTAAGCACTCAGGTTTCCAGGTAGCCTGAATGAAGTTCACTCCAACAGACTGCGATAAGGATTAAAGCAAAACAATCAGAAATTCATGACTCACAAGTCTATACTGGTGTCTCTTATTAGAATAGAGTTTGTTCTTTTTTTCTTTTAAATCTTAAGGGAGAGTCTACAACTTCATCTCAGGTTTGTTACACAAGAATATTCAAGCTGGGACCTCATGTAGAAAACATGAGACCGAACTGGAAAAAGAAAAGGTACCTATAATTGTGAAGAAAGAAGTTTTATCTAAAATTTAAAAAATGATTAAACTTGAAAGTAGATATATAAAAAAGATCCTAAACAATTTTCCAATCATGCTATGGATCACATTTCCATTCTTTTCAAGCAGACATTGTGGTTGGGCCTTTGTAGGGACATTATACCTATGACTTCTAGGGGCATGCGTGTGAGGCAAGGATAACAGTTTAGGGCAACAAGTCTTCAGGTTCTTGGCTCAGGCTCTACTAGTGTTGCTTTTTATATTTCCTTCTTTTTTAAGAAGCTGTGACTAATATGCTAATAAAAGGGAAATATCTTATATTTTTTTAACTGAAGGATAACAATACTTGAAGTAGAATTAGCTTGCATTTTCTAATTTACCCAGTGGGGGCAATTACTAGGTTAGAATTTTTTTTTCTTTTTCTTTTCTTTCTTTCTTTCTTTCTTTCTTTCTTTCTTTCTTTCTTTCTTTCTTTCTTTCTTTCTCTTTCTGAGACAGGGTCTCACTCTGTGGCTCAGGCTGGAGTGCAGTGTCACAATCATAGCTCACTGCAACCTCGGCCTCCTGGGCTCAAGGGATCTTCTTGCCTCAGCCTTCCAAGTAGCTGGGACTATAGGGGTACACCACCATGCCCAGCTAATATTTTAAAATTTTTTTGTAAAGGTGGGTTCTTGCTATGTTGTCCAGGCTTGTCTTTAACTCCTGGCCTCAAGCAATCCCCCTGCTTTGGCCTCCCAAAAGGCTGGGATTACAGGCATGAGCCACCATGCCAGGCCTGGATTAGAATTTGAATCACAGTTTCCCAACTCCCCAGATCTGGATTCAAACATTCTATCTTTCTTCAAACTGTACCCTCTCAATGAGGCTACCCTGATCTCTGAATTTAATAATAAAACTTGCCCATCTCCCTGCAGAAATCCTGATTCCCATTTTCTCTGAAGTGCTTGCCATAGAATTTGCCATCTACAAACTTACCATGTAACTTGCTTATTTCTTATGCTTATTGTTCATTGTTTCCCCTCCCTAAGAGAAGGGACCTTTACATGTTTTGTTTTCTGATATATCCTAAGCATTAGAACAATGTCTGGCACATTTTAGGGCTCAACAAATTGTTATTAATAAGTCTCTGAGTATGTGTGCCAAGAATTTATATATTTACATTTTAGAGTTTTTTTAATTCTTAAACTTAATGCCATAGAAAATTCAATGCTATATGCTATTGTTTTCAATGCCATAGAAAATTCAATGCTATATGCTATTGTTTTCAATGCCATAGAAAATTCAATGGCTTATGCTACTGTCTTTGAAGAGATACTTTAAAAATAACAAAAACAACGTCTTTAAAGTAAGACATTCTTCAATGCCATCATATATGTGACAACCTGCAGGGAAAAACTCATTTTGTTTTGAAATGACAGTCGTTTAAGCCCTTTTATTTGAGCTTCATGTTGGGTATTGTGAAAGAAGATGGTTCCATACATAACTCTTTTTGCCTAACTGCACGACCTACTGAGAGCCTACCTCCTGACTGGAAATATATCACAATCTGGGCCAATATGAATAATCAAGCTCATGTTTTTCCATTACTACCAATAGCAAATATAGCCTTTGCAGGGACAGGACATATTGTCAGGCATTGATATTAAATTGACACTGGGTGGCCTGAAAGGGTTAATGGACCATATCTCCATACCTGCCCAGATCTCTTCTCTTATGTAGAATTTGTTCAGTTCTACAACATCAAATGAGACCTGCTTAAATTCTCCCAAGTCACCCTGACAAATTGTTCACTCTGGTAGCCTTGCCTATGAACTCAGAGACATCTAGGAACTTACTTCTGACCCTGGGGGATCCTCAGGGTTATAGATGAATAGCTTCATGGCATTAGGATGGCATCCTGCCAAAATATCCCCTGTGGCAGGATCGACAGTTAAGTTATCCACAAGAGTGCCCAACGGAATTACCTTGCAACAAAGAGGGAATAGTGAAGACGTCGTCACAACCATTGTTCCCTTTCTTCCCTGTTCTCCCCACCCCCATCATCTCCGTATGGTACTGGAAATTGTTATCTTTAGGGGACTTGGAGTGCAAGCACAATCTCACTTGCATTGCTGTCAAATAGCCATATTTCCCTCATTCAAGGAGCACATTGCTGGGTCAAGCCCTGACATAAGAGGCCATGTCGTGTGGGCCAGCCAGGGAACTTGTACCTTCAGCTGAGTTAAATCCCAGTTATCATGTTTTTCCATTATGTGAATGTTCTTAGCTGCCACATCAGCCACATAGACATACCTTTGAAATAAATAACATTTACATTTAAGCAAGTGGTAATGAGAGCTAACACTCAACTTTCATTTTGGAGAAGAGGTACAAAAAGTCACACTCGTTCAAAATACCATTGTAATTCCTTTCTAAACCACAATAAAAGAAGATAATTGAGTGGTGTTTTTAATACCCTTGAAGTGCTTTAAACAGATTTTGAATATAAACTATGACTATAATGAAATTGGTGTTTCTAGATGACATATAGGCTTAGTCTTATTACTTTACAGTCATGATTTTTTTCTTTAAATTGAATGGGGGTAAATGGACCTCTTACAAGGCCAGAAGAGTAAAAATTGGTGCTTAAAAAGAAGTGCCAGATGACCATAAAGTGCAATCACAATAATTTTTGAAAAGAGGAAGGACACTTAGAGTTGTTTTCCACAGGGATCATCTCTGTTCATTATCTCAAATTTACATGTTAATATTCAAGGTACTTCTCTGTTTTAAAAACCTTCAAATTTCAAACACTTAAAACATGAAGCTGTTATGAAGTGTTTTTCATAAAATTTCATGCTGCTTAAAATAGTGTTTTCTCACTGAATAGTCTGCTGTCGTAAATCAGTAAGTCTGAAACTTACACAATCACTGTGCCCAATCTAAGGTAGACTTCCCTCTCTGATAGGAGTCTTTGAGTGACTGAACTTAGAAAAGTGGTTAAATACCTTCTAGCCTCATAAGAGGCTAGAGGCAGAGGCACTGCACATTTATCCTCCTTTTTAGTTTGTTAGAAAGTGTTTCTAGAGTCATGTAAAAATTTGGGGCAAGGACCTTATATTTGGGTCCAAATTTCTCCATTTACTGGGAGGAACCTGAAGTCCAAGAGGACAAATGGTTTAAGATCACCCTGGGCCGCACCTGATCCTTCTACACATACATTGATTATTTAAGCCCAAGAAAATAAACACCTCTTAAGAGAAGGAGTCCACCTAAATGTCAAGGGCAAAGGATAGAAAAATACATGAAAGAGCTTACTTCTGGTCTGGTGAGGCTGTGATCCCATTGGCAGAACTAAATCCTTCGGCCACCACTTTGACCCCTATTGGGCTATAGAAGAGAATGGAACTCCATCGAAGATCCAAAATCATCTCAAAAAGTCTCAAGAAGAAGTTGTTAAAATAGTGATCTCTGGTGACATAGAACTGTTCTGGTCCGAGAACCACAATGTCATTCAGACTGAAGTGAAAGACAGACAGAGAGAGAGACCCACAAGGTATTTAAATATCCTGATTGTTGTCAAAATCACTAATCTCTACATAGACAAGTGAGTGCATCAATTCAATGAAGTATACATAAACTAATGTGGATTAAAGAATTTCAGTCATGCTTTTGGATTGCTTTGATGGGTTTTCTTTAGCCATTTGTTATTTTCTTACTTTCCCTTCCACAGAAGTCAGTAAAAAGAAATAAATACACAAAGAAACCTCAAACTCCAAACTCTGTTGACTTGTAAATGTTGATAATGGCCATCGGTGGCAGTTACGGTGCAGTTCACTGATGACTATGGTTTTCATTCTTCGGGAACCAGACTTCCCCCATCCCCTTGAAGTTAGGCACAGCCACGTGACTTGCTTTGGCCAGTGACATGAAGTAAGGTGTGAGGCTTCTGAAGACTTTAAGAGCCAGTGCTTGCTCAACCATGGTGCCCTCCCATTTCCAGAGTAACAAGCAACTTTTCTGATGATAGAGACTGTGGTCCTCCTAGAGCCCTAAATGAGGATAATATGAAACTGAGTCTCTGAATCACCTACAATAAATACACAGCATGAGTGAGAAAACCAAACCAAACCAAAATTAAACTTTGTGGTTTTGAGCCACTAAGATAATGGAGGTTTTCTTTTCTATTATTATAGCATAACCTGGTCTATCTTGATTTTTATATTTTCACTGAATAGATGGGATTATGAGTGATATTCTTTCTTATGTTCTTGAACACCACTAACATTTGTAGATGGAGAGCAAGTCTTGCTCTTACAATCAGTAAGAAAATAAAGGCTTTTCTATTTTTGAAATGAAAAAATAAAAAGAAAGGACTTGAAAAAATGTAAAATAAAAAAGGATCGAACATTTTTAGATTAAATTTCAGGAAAGGAAAATTTGGATGAATCAGGAAATACTTTGAGGTTTTGACATATAATGATTTTTCCCAATTTTTCCCATTATACATCTGGGCTACTCATCTGCTTAAGAGTTTCTTCCTCCAAAAAGTACTGCCTGACACCATACATTAAGTTAAATTCCCTTGGGAGTTTTCTTCCTTGGCACTCTATTATGCTCCTTGTAAGCGCTTACTCAATGTGTTTATCAGGGCATCTCTTGAGCTCCTTTTAGATTCATACAGCCGCACCTACCTTGTTCTAGCTGCCACTACTTCAGCCAGTTCAGCTGGGCTCTGACATACTTTCCACAGGTGCAGCCCAGCAAGCCCTTACCTCATTCCTGCTGTGGGACTCTTGCCTTCCACTTCCAGAGTTCCATGTTGATGTGAAGGCACGAAACACCATCACACTTGACTTGCACAAGCACAACCAAGACTGTGGGGGAGTTAAGGCCTCTTGAGGCAAACCTTTGACTGATGGGAGATGTGGCTAACAGACAAACTCTTCTCCCTTTCTTATCTTGGCCAGATTGTCCTGAAATGAGGCTTATGTTGCTTACTGGAAGATAATCTCATAATTTTGAGCAGTCAGTTGCACTTAGCAATGGCTGGTGTAATGAAGCATTTGCTATGGCTTTTCCCCCTTTGTGAGCTTCCTAGGCTGCTGTAACAAAATACCACAAAGTGCATGACTTAAAACAGAAGAAATTAGTTCTGGAGGCTGGGAGTCTAAAATCAAGTTGTTGGCAGGGCCACGCCCACTCTGAAGTTTCTCTGGATCTTTCCTCGGCTCTTCCAGCTTCTGGTAGCCCCAGGCATTCCTTGGCTTGTAGACATATCACTGTACTGTCAGTATCCATCTTCACATGGCATTCTCACTGTGTATCTGTTTTCTTATAATGACACAGTCATATTGGATTAAGGGTGCATCATATTCCAGTATGCCTTCTTCTTAACTAATGACATCTGCAACAACCCTATTTCCAAGTGATCTCATGTTCTGAGGAATTGGGGGTTGGGATTTCAGCATATCTTTTTGAGGGGACACAATTCAACCCATAACATTCACCCTTCCTCACCTCAGGCCAGTCTCTCACTTCCACTTCCTGGGATTATACTTCCTAACAAAGTGGTCACATACTGGGTTTTCCCCTGGGCTGTGCTTTCTGGGAAACTCTTCCTGTGAGGTCATATGCTAATGTATTTGATACTCACAATCCACTAGTTAAGTAAGTCAGGCCAAAGAGAGAATTCCCATTCTGCTGAGGAAATTGAGGCACAGATTAAGTGACTTATCCACAGTTGCCCAGCAACCCCATGGAAGTCTTGTTCTCCTCTACAGCCTCAGAACTCCACACGATGCATTATGGGAGGAGTCTGACAACTGCTCTTACTTCTTCAGCCCCCAAATTTGACGCCCCCAAATTCTATGGGGAGAAATTATACATGATGTTAAGAAAGAGAGCAAAGGAGAAGAGATGAACTTTCCTTTCTTTTCCTATTTTTCTCTCCCACAGAACAGTCTATTGTTTTAGAACGAATGTTTTAGTGTAGATCCCATTTTATAAAAGACAAATTCCTCACTGTTTGCCACAGCCTTTAAACAGGCAGCCCACCCACTGAAAAACTTATTATTTTTCTGATCTCAGTAAGAAAGATGTTCTTCACTGCAATTGAGAGTACAGCTTTGAATGCAGATGGACCTAGGTTTACAGCCTGGTTCTGCAACTTATGAATTGTGTTACTTGGGCAAATTACCTAACCAAAAACTTCTTAAGAATCAGTTTACTCATCCCTATTTCCAAAGGCTGTTGTGAGAATTAAGTTAAATTAAGTATTTTGGCATAGTGCCTGGTACGTAGTCAATGCTTAAGAAATGTAATTTTGTAAGCACTCAAGGGCTTTTAAAAAATTGCACTTTAAAGCACTGATTGAACAAACAAATGGCCCATCTGGAGGTTGGTTATGACACACAGTGGGTGAGGCTCACAGAACTCAACCTACTGGGACAACTAGAAAAAGGTGTATGTAGGTGTTTAAAGAGAACCCAATAGTAGGCATTGAGTTGCTGTGGTAAAGAGGAAGGAATTAGAGCTAAGAATCTAATTGAGCACCTTTATAGGATTAAAATGCTTTCAAGGAGTTGAAAAATACAGAGATATTCAACACTGAATACAGCAATTGCTAGTGAGGTGCTGGGCAGTGTCACCACGGGAATCTTTAGAAAGCTTGAGAAAAATTGCTGCAAAACAAAAGTTTAAAATGCCTGCTGAACCAAAGAAAACAAAGCGCACAGCAAGGGTGCAAAATAAATAGAAGTACATCATACTTTAATTCCATACCTTGTGAAAAGTTCATGTTTTATAGTTTCCAGGTATACGAGAGAACGTTCTTGTTCCTCAAATTTAAATATCTCCACAGTGGACTTCATGTGGGGATGATTCACAATATAAAGATACACAGTATGGTCTAAATGGAAAAAGGCACAATTTTCAAGAAGTTTACTTCTATTGCAACCGACTGACACTAGACTTGTTTTAAAACTTGGCCACTGCCTAGCGTTTTCTTTACATAGATCTTGCATTTGATCCCCACAGTCCACCTGATAGGTGAGTCAAATGTCAGACTCCCGATTTTATTGAAGAAATAAAAGGTGAATCATTCATCAGCGATCTCACCACCACCAAGCAACAGAGCCAAGCACAGATGTTTTGCAATGTTCTGTTCAGCCTCATTTGCATACTCTCTGCAGCAGGAGGCTATGGGATATAATGGTGCGTAAACATGCATGTGGTTTCCCCAGAAGGTTTTTCGATAAGAGAAGTGGGCGCAAGCAAACAAAACTTTGCTGAGAATTTTTGCGTGTGTGTTAATTGTCTACAGTGCAACATGAGCTTGAGAAATGTCAGGGCAGTGTAAATACCTTAAAATAAGCAACATTTTTTAGCCAGACAATGAACTTCTGATACAAATCAACCATCCGAGGTTGCAGTAACAACATTTACTGAACTCAGTGGATAGAGAATGTAAATAGAAATGCAAGAGAAAACAAACTAGCTAATTCCAGGTATTACCAACCTCAAGAATGTTCACCTACCCATTTCATATTGGAAAGTGAACTGCTGTGAGCAGCATTGAGGGTAGTAACCTAGCCTCTCAGAGCCTTTAAGGGTCTGGCCCCATCTTCCCACTGTATGAGTGACTTATTCCGTATGCATCTTCCCTACTTCTTTCCTGGATGTAGTCTCCAAGTGTGTAATTGAACAAGCCCAACCTCTGAGATGTAAAGTTTATATTCAAGGCCTCTAGAACACACTGGGGACTTTTATGGAAATTAAGGGAAGGTGCTTCCTCACAAATGAATATTTCTTCCGGTCTGACCCAATTCTGTTACAGGACCCCGCGCTTGGCAAACAGAACACAGGTTCGATTTCAGCTCCAACGCAGACCTTTAACCAGACACTTTTTGTGGGGCATAATCATATGTGCTGTCCTGGTTTTACTTCTAGTGCCTCTCCTAAGCCCCTCGTGCCGTATAAGATGTGCTTAGTGAGAATACTTTTGTTCTCTCTCCTCATTCCATCCCGATTTCTATGTGTAATATTTTAACCTTATTAATTAAATATATCAATAAGGGAGATGGCTAATAAATAAGCTGTCAATCGTAATACACTAAACTTCTGGAAGCCTTATTATATGACTGAGGGTTAATCTATAATCTGGTCCCATCTAAAAACAAAACAAAACAAAACAAAAAGCTAAAACCCAAACCCACCTCCACCCCCACCTCTAATAGTATCCTATGTAACCAAATAGCTCCAGGTATATCTGATCACTTATACCTTTTCCAGTGAAGCATCTTATGTCTGGTACAGTGTCAGGCAAAAACATAGTAGCTTTTGAGTTATTGAAACAGCACCTGGAGCCCTAATCACACCCTAGCAAAGACACAAGATTAGAAGTGAAACCACCTGGGTTCCAGTTCTGGCTCAGCCATTTACTAATGAGAGAAATGAAGTCACACTTCACTGCATTTCTCTAAACTTCATTGCATCCACCTGTAAAGTTGAGTATTACTATCCTCTCTGATTGTCGTATAGGGTTCATTCATTTATTCATTTAACACATGTTCATAGAGTACATAGTATGCATCACTGTTCTAGGCTTTGGGAACCCGGCAATGAATGAGTCACATATGCTTTTATGGTGATTATATTCTAGGAAGGAAAACAAGGAGGAAAAATTAGTAAATAAACTAAAAACAAAAAATATTCAAGTGGGGAGACACCTTCATAGAGTGAAGAGTGACAGTTAAGCTCGGATCTGAAGATGAGAAGGAGTTTGCTACCCCAGGATATTTGAGATCAGAGAGATATTTGAGAGGTAAATTGAACAAAACATTATAATGAGTTGACCTAATGGGTCAGAGAGAGGAGAAGTGCTCAGGTTTTTATTCTGAGAAATAAAGACACTATATATGAAAATGCCTTGTAAACTATAAACCAATGAAAAATTATTAGTTATAACTATCTATTAAAGCAGGGCTTGCTAAGCAAATAAAAAGCATAGATAAGAGTTCAGGGGAATATTTAACCTACTTAATAGAAGAGTATTCAAGCATTTTAAAAGTTATTTAAAAATGAACACATCTGTGTTGGTATAGACCAAAGGAATTGAAAAAAGATATACTGGATAAGTATATAGAAAAAATTATTAATCAATCTGTTTTATTCATTAAAACCATCCTCAGCAAATTTATACTTAACAATATATTTTAACTCTAGTGTGTATCTGGAAAAATTAAAACATTTCTTTTAAAATTCTGAATTTCAACACTTCAATTTGACCTTCCTTTCATGTAGTTACTATTAGTGAGGTTTTACTGTTCTTATTTTTCTTGGTGCTGTAGAGACCCACAACATTTAAAAATTAAATTTGTTCGAAATTGTGAACTATAGACAAGTCTAAAATAAGATTGGTGAAAGAGTCTTTTTCATACAAACAAATAATGAGAAAATTCATTGCCAGCAAACCTATACTATAATAAATATTAAAAGAAGTTCTTCAGATAGAAGTAATATGATATCAGACACAAATTTGTACCTACACACAGGAATGAAGAACTGCTAAAAATAAATATATGACTAATATAAATAATTTTTAAATTGTTAATTTCTTTAAAAGATGACTGAATAAAGAAAAAATAGTTACAATAAAAAACAAACAAAAATAACATTGGAGATAATTGTCTTTAAAGCATATACAATGTATTAATATGATACAATATTTTATAATATCTTTTTTGAGATATAATTCACACACCATTAGTTCAAAGTTTTAAAATGTACAATTCAGTGGGTTTTAGTATATTCACAGAGTTATGCAACCATAATCACCATCTAGTTCCAGAGCATTTTCATCACCCTAGAAAAGAAATCACCTACCTATTAGCTGTCATTCTTCATTTCCCCCACCCCCTGACCCCTGCCAACCATTAATCAACTTTCTGTCTATGAATTTGTCTATTCTGGAAACTTCCTATAAACGGAATATAATATGTGGCCTTTAGTGACTGAATTCTTTCACCTAATAGAATATATACAAAGCTCATCCATGTTGAAGCATGCACCAGTATTTCATTCCATTTTCTTGCCAAATAATATTCCATTGTATAAATACATCACATTTTGTTTATGTATTTATCAGTTGATGGGTATTTGGATTATTATCACCATTTGAGTATTAAGAACAATGCTGCTATAAACATTTGTTACAAGTTTTTATGTGGATGTTTTCAATTCTCTTGAATATACATGTAGAGTTGTTGGATCATATGCTAACTCTATGTTTAACATTTTGAGGTACTGCCAAAATGCCCTCCAAAGTGGCTATGTCATTTCACAATCCCACCAATAAAGTACAAGCATTCCAATTTCTCCACCTCCATATTGTCTGTTATTTATTTTTTTAATTTTTGCCATCCTAGTGGATATGAAGTGATATCTCATTCTGGTCTTGATTTGCATTTTCCTAATGACTAAGGGTGTTGAACATCTTTTCATGTGCTTATTGGCCATTTGTATACCTTTTTAGGAGAAATGTCTACTCAGATTTTTTGACCATTTTTTAATTGAGTTATTTGTCTTTTTGTTGTTGAGTGGTAAGAATTCTTTGTATATTCTGGGTACAAACCTTTCATCAAATATTATCTCTCATTCTTTGGGTTGTTTTCCACTTTCTTGATGGTGTCTTGATGGTGTCTTTTATGCTTCTTTTGAAGCATAAAAACGTTTATTTTTGATAAGTCTAATTTATCTATTTTCTGTGTTATGTTTTTTAATGTCACACAATTGTTTTCAAAGGACCCTTAGTTTATATCTTAGATTTCTGAGAACAGTATTCAAACAGGTTATGACAGTCAAATAAGAAGAAAAGTGAATAGGAGGCATAGAAGGAGACCACATAGTGCCGAAATTACTAGTCTTCTTTCTTTGAGGCAACCTTTAAAACGCTTTTATACACATTTAGCATGTCACAAATATACATCTTTATGATAAAATAGCATCTTACCTCTTCCTTTAACATAACTATTGAGTATTTGGGGATGAATGGTTTCTATTTCCCTCATTTCCTCCTTATCCTAAAGCATTCAGGCTTTACCTTTGTCAATGAAAATACTGATCCCGTGTGGATTAAATAATTCTTTGTCAAATCCATCACTGATTTTTAGTGCTTGGGCCTTTGGGTTTTGTTCATTCAGATCCATCAAGAAGATTTTTCCTGGTTCATCTGGTGCAAAGTTTGGAAGGCCTGGATATTTTAATCCCTTAAAAAATAGAGAATAAGTATATACATGTATACATATCAAAAAAAATTTTCATACAGAAGCTAAAATCTCAAAGCCAAACAGAAATGTTCAAAGTTCTAAATTTCCTTTTGATTTTGGGATTTTTCATTCTGTCAGCTATTGCCATTATCTGATCTGGGAGGTTACCAATGCCATGTGAGGCATTGGCCGTGAATATGGGAAGAAACATATTGAAGATAAGGAAGAACTTTTAATTTAGAGAGGAGGAGTTAAGCCAAAAAATATAATGGAAGAGACTAGGCCGTGTTACTGTGTGTGAATTCTTTGGCCTGCCTGAGCCTCACATTTCTTCTCATTTACAAAGTGAGGAAGTTAAAATGTGTGATTGTGAGATTCTTTCCAGTCCTGATATTCTACAATAAATTTTTCTGAAAGCAGATAGAATGGGTGTATGGTTTAATTTTATCACTCTCATCCCCACATTGATTATATTATATAGTGGCAAATTGTAGAATCAGCTAAGAATTAACATGGGATGCCAGTTATAAAGTTGACTACTTTTGACCGATTTCATTTCTATAGCCATGTCTGAATAGTCTGACATGAATGCTTTCCTGCAAAAAGTTTATTTCAGTAACTTGAACAGTGTCCCTTTCTACTAGTAGAACCAGGTGTTTATCAACCAACAATAGGCAGCACAACAAATGCATTGAGCTTTTGCTGCATCCAAGTTTACTGTGTTGAACCTCAGGGTTGGTTTATTCTAAACCAATCACAAAACCGTTCACTTCCTCCCCATGTCGGTCCCCTATCACTCTGATATTTATCAATGTCAATGACTTTAGATCTTCTCCTATACCCTTATTTCCATTTACAGGCAATTCAAATTTTCTCCTTCCTAGTCCACCTTCTCTTGCTATCTCTCTCCCCCCCCCGCCCCTTCCTAAAAAAAACGGGGCAAAAAAAAGGAAGCAACTAAAAAAAAAACAATCCGGGCCCCTCCAACGCCCCCCTCCTTGGGGTAGTCAACCTTTTCTGAACAACCCTACCTACACCTTCAAGCTTTTCCTAGAACAGTCCTTCAAAGCTCAAATCTAATGGAGCAGTGTTGGCTGGGAGACAACTAGACAACACTGGGGTAAAACCAGGTTTCCCCTAGTCGACTGGCACTACTGAAGCCCATCAGAGGAGGCGCTGTTCCCTCTTCCATTCTCCTTAAGTCAGCACACCTGCAGGAGGGATTGGCATACCCCCAGCCACAAACCTCTGCTTCTAGACCTCCAATCTATCCTCATCAATGAACAGACCCTCTTTTAAGGAGGCCACACCCTTTGCTTCCTCTTCAAATTCTCTACCCTGGTCTAGCTCTCATATAAGGTGAGTCTAAATTCAAGTTGAAAAACTCCACTACAAAGTCATCATCCCAACTTCAGCCAGACGTTCAGTACTGTTTATAGATTTTTTTGTTGTTGTTCACTCTGATAGGCGATCTACTGGATTTCTCCAAATAGCTGTTCTAAATTTATTTCATTATCTTCCAGAGCCTGCATTTTCTTTCTTTTAGGTCTGAATGGGTGACTTTATCTCCACTTCTCTAAAAAGACCATGTCATCTAACATGAATTTCCCTGATTCCCTTTTGTCTGCCTCAGTATTCTTATTCTATTTTATTTATTCTCTTCCTTTCTCCCTCTTTCCTCAAGGAAGGAGTATCCCTCTTCTGTTCTTAGGTTAACTCCCTCACTTCCTTTCTTGGTTCCCTGTTCTCTAGGGCCTGTCTTTAGAAATTACACCCTTTTCCTATTGCTTTCCACTCATTTTTCACCAACAGTCCCTTCTTTGGCTTTAAAAATTGCTCAAGTTTCTCCTTCCTTGAAATGAATCTTCTAATTTATTGTGTGTGTGTGTATATATACATACACACACACACACACACACACACACACACACACACACACACATTTCCCCATCAAATTTCCTAAAAATAAAAAAAAATTTCTTAGCAACATCACCTAATTTTGTTGCCTGATTCTAATTGCTCCAATTCTTAATTCCCTGAAATCAGTATTCTATTGTTACGTGTCTATAGTTAACACCCCTCTATAAAGATGATATTATTGGTTTCCAAATTATTTTGATAACCCTCTTTTCTTACCTGCTTCTCTGTGGCATTTGACACTATACTTTACCTCCTTTCTTGTCAAAAAGTCAGAAGTAGAGTTTCTAGCTGGAAGTCCTGTTTCTCTTCCTGCCTCTGGGATTTCTTCCTTCTAATGTCCTCATCCATCCCTCCTCCCTTCTTGCTCTATACTCTTTCCTTGCAGATCTTATTCATAAGGTTTCTGGTATTTCTTCTATACCAAAGACTTTCAAATGTGCACATTTACCGGTAACATTCCCTCGGAGCTCTAGCCTGCCTTCCCAACCAACTTCTTCCTAAAAGACAGCTCAAAATCAACTAGTCAAAACCAAAATCAATATCTTCCCCTCAAATCCTTCCTCTCATTTATATCTATTCTTCTCAGTTAAGGCTATCACTACCCTCCCCAACGCCAGACCACGAAATTCAGTCTTCAAGTCCACCATTTCCCCCATAGCCAATTTGTTAGCAAGCTCAGTGGCTCAGAGAATAATGGCACTGGAAAAATTATGTATATCAGCGGCATCTAATCCCATACCTTCCCTTCCACATGAGGGAAAAGAGGCCTAAAGAAGTGATTTGTTAAAATCACCCAGATCATTAATTGTTCAGCCTCTTTCTGCCATATCATCATGAAAGGTCTGAAAGCAAAGAATATTGCTCAGGAAGGCAGCTCAATGCAGAACACTTTGGCAAGTACCTTGGTAGTGTGGGGGCACGTGGGGGCATGTTAGCGAGTGGAAAGACTGGATGGCCCAGAAATGGAAACAATCTGATAGAGAGGTAAGGATGGGGCACTGCAAACAAGCTTGGCCTAGATGTAGTGTGATAAAGGATGAAACACTTCTGATAAATGGCTTCACACTCACCTAGTTTTCTGTTCAAGGCAGTCAGGTAGGAATTTGTGGCAGCAAATCTATTGTGCGCTAGTGAATTGCAAGCAATTCTTTTGATACTGTTCCCCAGTGAAAATGGTGAAAGCCACCTGGAGGCATCTTATTTTTCCCAACAGACTACAGGTATATACGACAGTCATTGAATTCTTCCACTGTGCTCATCCACCAGCACATGCATTCAGTAAATACTCATGCACCTGAATAGGTAGTGTGTTAGGTGCTGAGCATGCCCATGCATGCTCCAAAGTCCAGGCTTCAAGGATCTGGAAGTCCATAATACAACAAGCAAGCCCATCAGTATGTTCTATAATAGCCTAAGGCCAGGGTATGTTGGGGACCATTGAAGAGGTACCTCACCCCACAAGACATAGCTAGGAAAGACTCTCCTGAGGAAATAAAGTGCCACCATAATGAGGCTACACAGAGAAAGAGGAGTTAGCTGGCAAGTAGTGAAGAAGGGAGTAATCTTTGAGACAAAGAGAAGCACATACCAAGTTCCAAAGCAAGGAAGAAAACACCTTGATTTGCATTTTAAATAGACTAGAAATATCTATTGCACTGAATTACTCTCTAAATCATAAGCTTCCAAACATCTTCTAGGATTGCAAGTAAGGGTCATAGGAGAAACCAAGGTGAACAAGGTCTTGAATGTATTGCAGTGCAGAAAGATTAGAAATAGGCAAAGAACAGAATCCTTAGCCTATGAGTTGTTTGTTTATTTACAAAGAGTTCTATAATTTAGAACTTCATGTTAGCATTTTCTCATAAAATTATTTGTAATAAAAAATATCTACTTTCTGTAGAGCAATGATTCAGAACTTTTAGTTCCAGGGAAAATTTTTTAAAAGCATGCTACTGTAGGAGGGCCAAATATTATTTGATAACAGCAAAGAGATTTTCTAGTTATAGAATAATCATGTTTAATGGTCTATTTGGCATAACATTGAGAATCTAAATTGACAACGGAAAACAGAAGTCAACAAAGAAAAAGCTTTTCTAGACCATTTTGCTTTATACTTGATTTTGGAGGAAAAATAAAGAAATAAAACTCTTCTAATATAGACCAGCACCACGACCAGCACCACTACCAGCACCAGTAGCAGTTTAAAGTCCAAATGACAGCCTCACTGTACTCTACTGCACATACTTAAAAGTTTAGAAACTCAGGCTATGATTATTATATATGCCCCTTTTTTTGGCCAAAAGTATTTAGATTTAAAATTCATGTCCTTAGGTGGCATTTTATTGACAAAAATGGAAAATTAGACACGCAATTCCAGCAATCAGAATTCACATGGAAAATGTGGTACATCTACTTCTTCAAAATCTTAATCCCTGTTTCAAAGTGCACTGATTTAACAAATACATGACAATTTTCAACTTCTCATAAATATGCATTTTTTGTTTATTGAAATTTTGTCTTTGGCATAGCTTCCTGATTATCCCAAACCTGTGATGGTGGTATTGGGAATCAAATGCAGGATTTTCTCTACTTCTCTTTGAAAGACTTAGAAGGAATGACAGGGAACTCAGACAGAAAATGCCCAGGGTTCTGAATCAAGTAACATGGCTTAATATTCGATACACAAACATTTATGGAGTTCCAAACACAGGAAGGCATGGTGAGAGGAATAAAAGTTAGTGAGAAGATGACTACCAGAAGCTGAGGCCCAGTCAAATAGAGCAAGATGGGGATGGACAGCAACAGGACAGATCTGGAGACTAGCCTAGGAATCAAATGAAAATCAATACACATTTATTGAAACCCTACTGCCCACAGGGAGCTGCCCGCCATGGTGCAATCAAAGCTGGACGTTCCTGTGGTGTTCTAATTAGCCCTTCGGAATCCTGTTTTGGCTTTGTTCATTAACTGGTTTACTGAGAAGTGGAATGAAAGGGTAGGGATCCATCTGACAGCTCTAGCCAACAACATTAATGCAACTGTCTATACAGCTATTGACGTGAGCATCAGAGCAGCATGGAAAATACTCACACTGGAGATAAAAGCCAGCCCACTAGGAAGTATATCAATATCTTCAGAGCCATATTCTGAAAAAGAAGTGTAGAATCAGAAAAATGCATGTATGAAGGCTTCAAAAAGTAAATATCACAGCCCAAACTTTGAACTTCTTTTGGAAAAGTATACTGAGTTTTTTAATCATTAACTTGGGAAACTATATTAACTTTCAGGAATCCCACAGGTATGCTACTCTACAATAAAACCTGAGTCAAACTTCTCAAATACTAAATTCTTTTTTTAGAATTTCATTTTCAAGAGAAAAAAGGCAAATAACTAGGAAATAAACTCATATCCTACATTTATTCTTTAAGTAACAATTTCCAGGGCATGTCCTGAGAGATTCAGCTTGATTCCCCATAGAATGCTGCTCGACATTTGGATAACATTTGGAAAGTCCTAATTGTGAATTTCTTTTATAGGCCTCTCTGCCAAGCATCCCTTCCCTTCCAATTTGTTCTTTTTTTTAGTGTATTATGGGGGTACAAATGTTGCCTATGCCCCCCTTTCCCCTCCAATTTGTTCTTGAGGCCTAAAAAAAATCTATCATTATACAATCTTATTGGGAAATTACTGAGTAATTGTTCTCTGTGTTATAAAAATATTTGGTCTTAGGATGAACTATTGAGTATAAATGAATGTGAGTTTAGTCAGATCTTTTTCTCGCTGAGAGCTGCTTTTGAGCATATTTCTATGAAAAGAGACATACAATAAGTAAGTTTTGAATGAAAACAGGATGAAAAAGGGGCTATCGTGGCTTCTAGTAGCAAGAGAGAGCCACATATGAGAGAGAATCATGTGCTCTTAAAATGTGATATTCACACTCTCCCATGGAGAGGCATGGTCTTGGCCAGGTGCGGTGCTGACACCTGTAATCCTAGCACTCTAGCAGGCGAAGGTGGGAAGATCCCTTGAGCTCAGGAGTTTGAGAGCAGGCTAAACAAGAGTGAGACCCCATCTCTACTAAAAATAGAAAAATTAGCTGGGCATGGTGGTATGCCCCTGTCGTCCCATCTACTTGGGAGGCTGAGGTAAGAAGATTGTGTGAGCCTAGGAGTTTGAGGTTGCTGTGAACTACAATGACACCACTGCACTCTACCCAGGTTGACATAGCAAGACCGTCTCAAAAAAAAAAAAAAAAGAAAGAGGTAAGGTCTATATTCTCTACCCTACCCTGGAACCTGGGTGGAACTTTGTCACTGCCTTGACAAAGGAATGAGATGAATGTAATGACACATGACAGCCAAGATTAAATCATAGCCGTAGCTGTCATTGTCGCATGCTTGCTTTAGTGCTCTCTCCCCACTTTCTCTCTCTCTCACTGTCTCTGTCTCTTGCAAGGCATGCACCTTGGAAGCCCTAAACCGAGAGATAAAAAGTCTGGTGACTGTAAAGCCACAGAGAAGAGACTACAGAGAGACCACACGAGGTGGAGAGAGATGTCACAGCAGCCGCAGATGACTCCAGATCCCAGCCTTTGAGTTGCCCTCACTCAAGTAAATGGAACAGGGTGAATTGTCTCCACTGCACCATGCAAAAATTGCAAATTCATGAGCAAAATAATTATTGTTTTAAGTCACTAAGTTTTGGGGTGGTTTGCTAAAGTCATAGTAATTGGAACATGTGGGGAAATGGTTGCCTGGGGTGGTGGGTTACAATGGTGTCAAAAGGCGATTGGGGGAGGATAGGGTAGAATATGAAAAGTGGGAAAAAGCCAAAGAAAATGGAAATGCAAATCAACAGTATGGTGGGCAATAGGCATTGAAAACTAGAGAACAGAGAAAGATTTCATTGTCTTCATTATACTGAAAGTTGAAAATAATCCTCAAGTAGTCATGGAAAAATTCAAGTAAATAGAACTTCTCATTTCCTAAGCTTTCCAGTTAATCAAGATATACCTATATATGGTACCTTGATGGCTATTTCTACCTGAGTGACATGGACATTGGGAGAATCCAGAAAATTGAATTAAACAACTTTAATTGAATACAGATTGGTGACATTCTGCTGCTTTTGCTGCCCCTCTGCACACACTTTCTCGGTTTCCTTTCACTTTAATCTCCTCCCCACCTCTAAGTGTGGATGGTCTCCAGGCTCTGTCTGTCCTTGGCTCTTTCTCAGGGCAGAGCATCCATCCCACCCGCACGGTCCACTCCAGTGGATCATGGCAGGTGGCGTCATCTTTCACCTGCATGCTCTTGACTCTACAAGCCCTACATCAAGCCCAAATCTTTCTCCCCAATTCCAGATCTCTCTATTCACCTGTACATTGGGCATTCGACCTGGCTTTTTCATTTCTCATATTCAGTAGGTCCCAAACGGACCTGGACATTTCCCCCATGAATCCACTCCATTTTTCTATATTTCTTCTTCTATGGATGATGCTTCTATTCCCCAAGTATCCAAAGCAGAAACCCTGGAGTTATCTTTGATGCCTTCCTTTTCCTTAATTGCTAAATCCAGTTGATCACCAGTCAGTCATTCAAGCTTTAGAACTTCCTGCTGGGTTTCTACAATAGCTTCCCAGTAGGTCAGCTTTTCTAGTCTACAACCATGCTCTGCATTGCTGACAGTCATTTCTTTTTATTACTGTAAAGTTGACCTTGTCCCTCCTCTGCTTAACACCTTTCAGAGGCCCAATAGGGCTGACAGTATAAATCCTAAGCTCTTTGGTCTGGATCCAGAACCTCCCATGCCTTGGTCCCAGTCTCAGTTCTGTGGCTCCCAGCCTCCACTCTGCATTGCAGCCGGGCTGTGGCACTTACTGCTGCGCTGTTGGTAGCCTGTGAATTGTGCCAGGCTCATTCACCTGCATGCCTGTGCACATGTTGTTTTCCCTTTCTTGGCACACTCAGACTTCTCCCATCCACCCGCACCTCTACTTGGCCAACGTCACAGCTCTTGGAATGAGCTTGGGGGCCATCCCCTCACTCTACTCAAAGTCATCCATTTTACGTACTAATAATATGGTCACCTGCGAATACCCCCAACAGGACATTTTTCACACTGGGCTGTACCCCTCTGCTCACTTGTTCATTTCCTACTAGACAATAAGCTTCCTGGGAACAGGGACTGGGTTATATTCGGTGTTGTGTCCTTGCACCCGACATAACACCTGCCTTTTCTCTGTAGAAGCTCTTAATAAAAGCTCAATCATTAAAAACTTCTAGTTTTTTGAACTTTGTCTTGTTTTGAGGTTACACTATTGACAAGTGAGTGTTAACTTCTGAGTCCAAGATATCCTGAGTTGTGTGCTCTCTGGTTTGGCTCCTTTTCTCTTTCAAACGGCATTTTATGTATCTCCTATGACAGCATAAACTACCTCAATAACTCACCTACAACAGAGTGGGCATTTTGCAGAGGTGCTGTGCCTGTCTTTATTAACTGGCTCCACCCAGAGCAAGGGAAGGCTGGTGCTTTGCACTCAGAAGTGGAAAAGAATTACCATGCAAGACTGCACAATATTTCCACCCCTCCTAACCCTTGCCTTTACTGCTCCTACATGATGCGCCTAGGGCACCTCAGCAACGGTGGCTCCTGTGGGAGCAAGAGCCCTGGGACATTCTCCTCTGAGTCTTTCCAAAACACTCATTAGCCTGAGCACAACTCTCATTAAAAACCTGCTGCTAAGTCTAAAATCAGTCTTATGAATTGGTGCCCACTGCTTGGTAAGCCTGTCAACCCTGCTAGTACTTGGCATAACTTCATTTCTTCAATCCTGTCTTCATTTCTTTAATCATCCCTTACAGGCACTGTGAAAAAGGGACATGACAAACATTACTATCAGTTAATTATCATTTCACATCTTGGAGAGAAGTTTCTGACGACCAGCTCAGAAAACAAATGGAACCTACTATGGAGCAGAAGCAAATCTTGGAGTCATGAGAGGCTACAGGAGGGAGAAGGGGGAGAAGAGAAACTGGGAAGGGACTCGAAACAGGCTGCCTGCTTGATAATCCTTCCCAGTGAAAGGCCCCATAAAGCTACTCATATTTCAAGTGCAGTTTTGATTAAATTCCAAGGACAGCCAGATAACTTTCTGGTTAAAACAATCCTTGACCCTCAAAGCCTTGGAAAAAAAGATTACTTAATATAAACAGATCTATGAGATACGCTTTTACAGGGAGACATATTTCACATTTCAATGTGGTTTTTTTTTTCCTCAGAAAAAAATACTTAGGTAGCAAAACAAACAAAACAAAGAGTTTCTTCCACCCATAAAATTAACCTGAAAAGTCTGGGTCTTGAAAAAAACACAAATGAGAACTTTTTTCCAGCTCTGTTACAGCCTAAAATCCTCAGTGGCTTTCCAGGTCTTCATAAAGTCTTCTACTCATTGACTAGTTGGGACTTAGGAGTATTATCTTAGTAGTTATCTTTATGTAAATATCTACCCTGCTTTGTTTTGATTAGCCTGTATTTAGCAATCTTTTGCCTGTTTGCATCTCATATTTTCTGTTTTTTGCTGCCATGATTCCTCCTGGCACTTTCACAATAAACTGTGTTGTCAGTAGATAGGAAAGGTAGTGTTACACAACAGAGAGTACAAAGGCATAGAAGAAAACCACTCTGGTTCATAATCTAAGCCCATCACCCTCTAGTCCTGGATCATTGGGCAAGTAACTTAATTCTTCCATGTGTCAATTACCTAATCTGCAAAGCACAAAGAGCAGCACCTTCTTTCTTTACAGATCAGTATGAGGATGATGTTGCTGTTAACAACAGACTCAACAGTGTGCTTACAGACACCAGGCCTTTAATAAGGCAGCTTTATTAAAGATATATATCAGTATTGTCCTACTAACAAACAACCTATGACCATTCTAACTTGTTAAGTTCTCCAAACAGGAGAACTTAACTTCTCTTAACTTCCTTCTGCTCCCCGCCAGCGACTATTTAAGTCATCCTCTTCAAAATATTTGCATAATCAGAATATTGAACTATGACTTACAATGTCAACTCTAGTTTTAGCTTCTCAAATCTAGTTGCATGACACAATTCAATAGTTAGATGTGACCTTAGCCATCATCTAGTCTAATTGTCCCTCTAAACTACTTGGCAGGCTCATATCTTTTGAGAGATATATGTGTAGTAAGTATGAATATTGCTCCATAAAACAGTACACAAATGAGTGAATATCACATTTTCTTAGATTTTCTTTCAAATCAAATTAAATCTGACCCTGATCCCTCACTCCACTAAGTTAATGGGAAATTTAATTTGAGTCATTGGTGGGTCTCTCTGTTAGGGCTTTGCAATGATTCTAGGTGGTGGGTTTAAAACCAGGCAGAATGTTTTGGCAAGGCCATCTGGCTTTCATTCATGACTGAATTAGGGCCAAGGTGTATGATCCCATTAATGTAGACAGTTCTGCCACTTCTGTGTCATGCATGGACACAAGGTCTTTGCTTTGGCTGGGACCCAGGGTCCAGCTTTCCAGAAGATACCTTGTAGCTATTCCTTCTGAGGTTTTGCTGCTCCTCAGAATGCTGTCAGGGCCCCTTTAGTCAAAGAAACCTACATATTCGTCGTACCCCTTCTCCATCAGAATGCCTTGCAGGAGCTCACGTTTTAAAAACAAAAGTTAGGTTTCTTCTGCTTTCCAGCTGCCAGCACAAGCCCTCTCTAAGACTAGGTTACTTTTTTTTTTTTTTTTTTTTTTAGAAATTGAGAAGGGGGAAAAAGCAGAAAAGCAAAATCTAAAGTACTCTTCTTCTGTTTCTTTTTTTTTTTAATATAGCAAGACAAATAAAAAACAAATTCCTATCACAAAATAAACTATCCTGTCACATTCTGATAACTAAGTCACAGTCCTTGCCCCTAGGGAGTTTACAATCTGATAGTGAAAGACAGAACACTGCTAGCTATAAAATAAGGCATGTGGTAGGTGTCATAAGTGAATCAGACTTTGAGTGCTGTGAGAATTGGGAGGAAGGAGACGAATTTGCAGCTGATTTCTGTAGCCAGAGATGGAAGGATCAGTGGAGAGAATTTCATAAACAAAGGTGAGAAAGTAAAAGAACACTTTCCCCCAAAATAGGGGGAAAGTGGTTTTCTGTTGTTTGTTGTTTTTTTCCCTAGTAGCAGTGTCAGGAAGAACTGAAGGTTTGGAGCCCAAATAAGAAGTTGTGGCAGTAACTAGTCAGTGAGATCGGCCCTGTCGGGGCACAGAGGGGGCCGATGCCAACAGGTGTCATGTGGAAGCAGGAAGGACAGGGGGAAAACAAAAACGGTTCCTGGATTCTGAACTGAATCTCTTGAGAATGAGGATATCATACACTGCAGAAGTCTAGAAGAAGAGCTGGTTGTGAGCAGGAGAATGAGGGGGAACGGCAGAAATGAAAGTAGCTTCTGTTTGAGGTGCACCTAACCTTTAAGTGACTCAAAAAGAAGGCCTGAAGTCTGAGAGGTTAGGGATCAGGCTGTGGAATTTATTTTAGTTTTTAAAAAGATATCTTAGTAGGCTATGCAGTTCTTGAAGGTCAGGACTAAATCATTTTATTCTTGGTACTCGTGGTACTTGTAGATAAATTTTGAAGGAAACAACCCTTGAAGCTGGGAATGCTCCAAGGAAAGGGAGAGAAGAAAGGAGGAAGAAAGAAAAAAAACAAGAAAGGCAGGCAACAGAAGACAGGAAGGAGAGGGAAATGTCACAGAAGGGAAAGGAGGAGAATTCAGCAAGGGAATGGCCAAGGTGTAGTCAATGACATTCTTTAAATGATGGCGAGATGTCAGTAAGGAAATGGACTGAGAAAAGCCACCAATTGTGGCATATAGGAGACCCCTGGAGACCTAAGATGGGGTAGGTTGGATAGAGTAGATGGGTCAGAAACCCTACTGGGAGTGTCTAAGGAGTAACAGGTAACCGAGAGAGTGGGCAGGGCTCAGTGAGGAGGATGGCCACCAAGGAATTGTGCTGCACCTCTTGGTTCTGTGATATTACAGTGATATACATACCGAGTCCTTCAATAAGGTGGCAGCTCTGGGGTTCTACTGACTCCACTTCTCGAGACGCATTCATTCTTTCTCTGTAGAAGATAAAAACCAACCCTAACGGTCAAGGCACAGCCTTCAAAATCTATGTCTAAATGTGGCCTTTAATCACTTTCACATTGGTTAATTCCCTTTATCATAATTTATGAATGACATAACAAGTAAGTGGGCACCTCTGTTCATTTATGTTTCTTTATATAATGTAAACATTTCGTGGGTAATGTACCTGTCTCAGCTAACCTCACTCATTACTGAAAGACTAAAATGCAATCATATGTAGTAAACACTTCGCTGCCCAAATAAAAGACTATTTAACAGTATGAGTAATTGGACAATATTATTAATTTAAATACACAAAATAGCAGTATTCAATTTTCTAAAGTATTGTCTATTTTAAACCTACACTTTCTTCCCTTCATTCTTTCTAGTCTTACCCTTTGAACTGTTCCTTCCAAACTGCTTTCCCAAAATTCAACAGTCTCCTAATAGCTAAACCCTGTAACTTTTGCTTTAATTTTATTTTTTTAATTTTATGCTGACTTTACTTTGCAAATATGTAAATTCATTAAACTGACCACAATTTAAACAATTGGCCAAATTATTTTTCAATACAGCATTCTTGTTTCTACAGTGAAATTTTTTTTTAATATTAGGGAGAATTGTAAATTTTTATTATGCTATATTCAGGAAGACTCTATACTCAGACTTACCTTATAGTAATTTACAAAAAAATAGCCCTCAGATCAACTTTATTATTATTTTTTATGTTTTTCTCATTTGTTGCACTGGGGGAAAAATGTAACAATAAAACTCTCAAGCTGAACTATAAAGTATTATCAAAAGTCACAAGGCACCAGAACAGATTCTAGATACGAACCTGTGAGATCAGCTTCTACCTACAGAAATAAATAAAAGAAACCCAAAGATACCTGAAGGCAAGCAGAGGCTTTAGATCCACTCAGGAATGTATACCACTTAACTGTTCTTTCTAGCCCAGGATTGACTTTTCCTGAGACATTTCTAGAATGGCTATCACCACTAGATCTTCCACTTCAAAAGATCAAGTGCCTACAAAATGCCAGTTACCACCTGCAGGTTTCAGCTCATTGTCCTGCTGTCCCGCTAGCTCTCTGCATCTAGGATGGGTGTCCAAACCCAGTACTTCTCAGTGTTTAGCCGGACTTGGGCAATGTCTCAATCAGCCTTGCACGGCTGGTAACCTGATCCTCTCTCCTCTAAGTCCAGCACTTCCCATGGACTTTGTTTTTCCCTAAACAGAATGTGTAGGACGACCTGGCAAAGGGGCCAAATAATAAACGAGGGCATTTCCCACCGACTGTTTTAGGAGAGGTGAGCAGTCAGCTCACTTTCGACACAAGCGATTGTCAAGGGGTAGTCTTCTGGATGGGATTGCAGAATGAGGTTCCAGAGCTGCTCGTCCCTACTCATTAGAAAGGCAGTAGTACCAGGCAGCCGTTGACTCACTTGGAGGAGGAGAGAAAAAGAAGCGATGACGACCCCATCACGATGCCACTCACCTGCAAGTCAGTAACCTCTCCCCAATGAAGGCCAGGCTGGCCCCCAGCAGGGTCAGCGCCACCAGCTTCCCCATGCTCTCTGGGTGCGGGGTGACAGCGAGCTGCGCGGTGCGCTCCCAGGCGCGGACAGGTCCCCGCCCCGCCCACGCGCCGGTGCCGCCCGGCCCCGCCCCCGGCGCCTCCCCGGCAGGTGCGCGGCCAGCGGCGCGGTCCCGCTCGCCCCGCGGCCCGGGTTCAAGGCCGTCTTTACGCGCCACAGTTCAAGGAAACCTTTATGCGCGAGATCTAAGTCCAACTGGACGTGAGAAGTCCTAGGGAATTTTTACGCGCAAAATTCCTTTTTTTTTTTGCCGCAAGGCTCAGCTTACAGAGTGCAAGTCGAGGCCCGCTGACAAAGGTTTGCAGTTCTGGTTTCAGCTTCGTCAAGAACACCCCAATTAGTGGGCCGGTGGGGGGAGTTGGCTCCTAAAAGACGCGGAATTCGACCTCAGCTCCTCAAATGGAGTGAGGGGGGAATTGAAAGGGTTGGAGAGAGCGGGGGAAAAGCTGGAGTTCAGAGCCTGAAACTTGTGGCTTCTGGAAGACAAGACCTAAGATGCAACAGAGACTTGCTCCTGAGACACTGGAAGGGAGAAGGTAATCGAAGCTGAGAACTCTAACCTATCCTTTTCCAAGATCTGGCGCGTAGGCCCCGGTCTCCTGACCTACATGCCCAGCCTCAGGGTGCTGGACGCGGTGGGTGTCCAGTTCAATTTGTTGGCCAGATGGATTAGTGAGCATCAGTATCTTCCCCTATAGTTGATGGGATAAGGAAAAATCAGAGAAGAGAAGGAAAAGAAAGAGGAAAAGGGAAGATTAGCAGAACGAGGAAAGGGGAAAAGTGGTTTCCTTGGGAAGTTAGGCTTTCAAAAGCTTGGTCCTTCTTTCTTCTGGGTCTTCAGTTCCTGCCAGGAATGAATGCACTTTCCCCTCTCATGGTGAAAGCCAGGTTCACCGGGAAAGGAGCTGAGGATGAGGAAACACTTGAGGAGTTTGGGCAAAGTGGCATGTTCAAGCATGACCTATTTTTATTTACCAACAGAAAGGAATAGTAATCCTGTTGATTTCAACTAACTATCCATTGAGAGATCAAGATTTTGCAGACCTAGGAATATTAAGAAAAGAAAAGGTAGTCTCTGATCTAGAGGATACATAATTATAGTATGAATACATAATTATGGGATGAATAATGAAGCCCACCACTTATGCAGCACTACGTGCTTTGCCTGTGCTTAGAACTTTACCTATGTTAACGCTTTTAATTCTCTTTTAACTCTTTAATTCTTTAAATCTCAAAAGAACCTCCAAAGTAGGGAACATTACCCCAATTTTGTAGGTGAAAAATCTGAGGCACAGAGTGGTTGTGTAACTTACCCAGCTGATTGTTGTGTCACACAGCTGATAAGCAGCAGTCAGACAGTCTGGCCCCAAAGTCTTTGCCCTTAACTGTACTGCCTTTACCACGCTGCCTCTGTAAAAGCTATGGAAGAGGGTTGTACTAAAAGAACACTGTAAAGTCTAGAGTTATATAGATAAGACAGTTCTTTTTAAGATGACTTATTTAATTTTTTTTTTTTTTAGAGATGGGGTCTTGCTCTGTCACACAGGCTGGACTGCAATGGCATCATCATAGCTCATTGCAGCCTCCAACTCCTGGGCTCAAGCAATCCTCCTGTCTCAGCCTCCCAAGTAGCTAGGACTACAGGTGTATATCACCATGCTCTGGGTAATTTTTAAAGTTTTTGTAGAGATGCAAGTCTTGCTATGTTGCCCAGGCTGATCCCAAACTCCTGGCCTCAAGCAATCTTCCTGCCTCAGCAAGATGATTAATTTTAAAAGGGTGCAAGCAGAGAAGGAATTGAATGCTGTTTCCATGAGGACTCAGGAGGAGGAGGAGGGCTCACAGAGCTGAGAGGCCAAGTGTATGCAGGCATGCACACTGGGTTTGGATGTCAGGCTGCCTGGGTTTGGATCCAGCTTGGATAAGATGCTCATCTTTCTTAAGCTACAGATTCTTATTCTGTAAAAGAGCAGCCACCTCATGGATAGCTTAAAATTAAATGTGATACCGAGTGTGAGGTGCTCTGCACTGTGCTTGGTACATTTTAGAAAGTCAATGAAGATTAACCACTAATTAAGCTTGAACCTCCACTTGAGATTTTAGGCCACTTGTGGGAAGAGACTGCCTCCCATTGATCATTGTATCTTCCAGTGGCATCCATAGAAATGTGTACTTAATAATGGCTCAATCAATACAGTTAGATGCATGGATGCAAAATACAGACCTGGGAGAAAGAAAAATTAAAAGAATAAAAATAAATGGAGTGGATGATGAAATATTAATAATCATACTATAAGCTAAGCGCTTGCATGCCTTATCATATTACTTCTCATAAACCCCACCTTGTAAAGGAGGAAAGTGAAGCTTAGAGAGGTTAAGTAATAACTCACCTTAGGTTACATAACTAAAATGTCAGAGCCTTTTTGGACTCAGGTCAAGTGACACTAACACTCATGTTCCTTATCACTGTGTTTGCTGCCTTGCAGCATAGCAGGAAGAAGGGGGTAGAGAAAGAAGCATATTCTTAGGCAATTGATTAAGGGTGCTGAGTTATCTATAATTTGTTTAAAATTTTTCCACTTTAGGCAGGGGAATGTGTATCTGTGTGTGTGTATACATTAACTTTAAACCTTAGAAGTGGTTAGTTTTTATTCGAATACCATAATCAGTAATTCGAATCCCCAGTATGGTAAATTAGTATTAAAGAATTCCAAATTTTGGAGGCCACCACATCAAGTGCCACCATTTAAATCTGCACATGGAGAGTTTACTCATTAGCACAAGAGATAATAGAAATAATTATTCATGGTAAAGCCATTTTGTTCAAAATATGTGGATTAGCAAGCAATATTGTATTTGCAACTCTAGCTCTGCACGGAGTAAGAACAAAAACAAGGAGGCCAGCATCCTCATACCTCCAGAATAGGATCTGGGCTCTAGAACACTGCTGAGTGCTGTGTCCACACAATTCTACTTCTGATCTGAGGTGAGTTGAATTCTCCTTTTAGAACTTGTCTCAGGCTGAACCTTTTTGTTAGGGGTTTGTTGAAATACCAGAGCTGGGACTCCACAGAGTTTGTAGAATAACAGGTCATAGAATGGTTTTCATGCCTGCTTGTTAATAGACATTTATGTGCAACAGATTTGGGTTTGAGCTTTGCATTGATTGGAACACACTACCTGGCAGGCAGATTATGGGAAAGAGACTTTTAGCTTCATCCATATCTAATCTTTGAAGACTACCAATTGTCAGGCAGCAAAAACACCCTGGCAATAGTCCAAATTGTCTGGTCAAAAGGCCATGGACTACATCAGTGTCATAAAAGAGGTTTGTTATCATTGAAAGAGCAAGTCAAATTTACTCAAAAGTCCTAAATTCCAATTCCAGTCCCACTTGCAACTGGCTCTTTAATCTTTAGAAGTCACCTATCACCTCTGGTCCATATACAATAGTGCTTTCCAAAAGGCTAATGTGGGCCAAATGAAATAGTTTATGTATAAACAATAAGTAGTGCAATACTGTATATTGGTCTAGTGAGTCCAACACCATTGATAATCAAAATGCCATTCAGGAGGCTGCAGAATGTACATATGGTATAATTCTAGTATATAAAAAATAGGGAAATTATCTATTACATGCATATATGTATATACATAAAAACAGTCTAGATATAAACTGAAGAGTAGTTACTTCAAGAGCAGAAGATTGGGGTCCCAGAGAGTGGGGATTTTGGTGACCATGAAAGAAGGTTTTGCTTTCACTGTATGACATTCTGTGATGTTTGAAATTTTTAAACCATGTGTCTTGATCATGTTTATAATCATTACATGTTTAATTTAAAAAGATCATTTATAGCACTGAATCTTGCCCAGCAAAAGAGGTTGTGATAGAAGGAAAGAGCAACAAATCAAAAGATAATAGTATTATGTCACAAAATAAAGCTGTTTTTAAAGAAAAGAATATAGATTTTAGAATATTAGGAAACATCTTCCTAAGCCATAGAGACCAATGTTTAAAACCTGAGTAGAAACAACTGCAAGTCTGTCTTGTGCTGCTTGGTAGAGAAAAAAAGTCAGGGAACCACAGACTTGTATTATTTTAGAAAATAATTTACATTATTTAGAAAAGTTATTATTTGAAATTTATATTTATTTAAGTATTTTAGTTATACTTGAATTTAAATAAAAAGTCTCAGTTTCACTCTGAGCATGCAGCTAATAATGAAGCCTCATGGTAAAAGTCTGATACATCGTTCAGTTACTTCCTGCAACCCACCATGGGGAAGGTCTGGCCCTGCTCAGGACTTCAGGTGCAGCCCGTGTTGTCTGGGCGTCACCTGTGCTGAGTGCATTTAGCAGCGGGAAATACCAGGGTCCCACAGGCTGATGTTTCACTATGTGAGTACCAGGGGAATGGAGGGTGTCTCAAGGGATCAGGTCACACTTTGCCAGAAAGGGCCTTTCCAGATTTATCTTCCACTTGAACTCTCTTCAGAGGATCCTTCCTTAATATTCTGTAGTCCCTCAGCAACTCTAGTTTGGATCACACCTCAAGGGTCCAATGTTATACATTATTTGATTCAATATGAACTTATCACACCGTATGACCAGGAAAAGTGGGAGTTAGGCAGAAGAAAGGGCTCACAGAAAGAGGGCAGGGGAACTGGAACAGAAATGAAGTCAGTCCAGCATGGATACAGCAGTGATTCTCAAACTTCAGCAGGCATAACAATCACCTGGAGGGCTTTTTAAGCCACAAGTTGGCTGTTCCTACACCCAAAGTTTCTGATATGTTAGATTTGGGATGGGACCTGAGAATCTGCATCTCTAACAAGGTGTCAGGTGATGCTGCTGGTCCAGGGACCACACTTTGACAACCACTGAGCATAAAAGACTGGGAGGAAGATGGTGAGAATTGAATCCAGAGAGGTAGGCAGGGTAGCCTTAAAGGCCCAGTTAAGAAATTTTAATTGTATCTTAAGGGGCATTGGGAAACCACTGGAAGTGATATGACCCAGTAGATTTTAGAAG